CATGTCCCATGCTCATCCTGGAACCAAGCTCTGGGGCCGAGGAGATGGGATGGGTCAGGCCTGGATCACGTGTCCTCCCCTTGTCCCCTGGAGCCCCGTGTGTGCAGTCAGCTCCGCTAGAACCCTGGGAACCAGGAGTGGGGAACTGTGGGTCACAAGGAGTGTGCAGGTCACTGCAAGCTAGGTGCTGCCACACACAACCCTGCTGTCGGTGGCTAACCCCGTAAAACTTTATTTCTTGCTCCCACTGGTGGCAGGGGTGGGACTCTACCTCCTGTGGCCACCCCGGGACCCAGGCTGGTGCAGGCATTGTCCTCCTCAACTCGAAGCTTCCAAGGACAATCAGCAGGTGGGTGGGAGGATAAAACAAAGTTTACATTCTGCGCAGTCTGGGCCTGGGAATGCCAGTCACATGACCACACCTCAGTGCGGGGGCAAAGGGAGGATTTAGTTGTGTGCCTTGGAGGAAGAGGAAGCAATCTCTACCAAGAAGTTTGGGGGGAGGAAGGGGTGCAGGGTCCCCATAAACGAGGTCCACCTGAGCATCCCAGACCAGCCCGCCTCCTTTAGCCTCGTCGAAGGTTCCAGCGTGAGCAGTGCCGGCCCAGTCTTTCCGGCTGAGGTCTCCTTCATGATGGCTTGAGCTCCAGCTTCTCCTTTAATCCCTCTGCTCACTGTCCCTCCCACTCAAGCTGAGTGGTGATGAAACTCAGTTGTTCTGGGACAGTCAACAAACCCATAGGTGCTTTATGGACAGGCAGGCAGTGGCGCAAAGGGAGAGAGAGGACAGTTCTGGCTCAGAGACTCACCAGATTTGCTCGTCAGTCCCCTCAATCCTCATCAGCCATCCTTCCCTGGGGACAAGCTGGTCCCTAAGCCAGCAGCATCTTCCTTTTCTCCATAGCCTACAGCTAACGGCACACAGGACTGGGGGCCAGGGGGAAGCTGATCCATCAGTCACGAAGGAATGACATCCCGACTTCCTGGAGACCTGGGCTGGGGAGGCCACACGCCAACATTGCAGCTGGCAGCAGCTAATCATTCATTCATTCATTCATTCACTTACCTCTGGGTGCTTTACTGTGTGCCCGGCACTGTGCTGGGTGCTACAATGGAAAGGATATACAAAAAGCATAAGATACTGGCTCTAATCTAGTGTTAGGAGATCAGGCTTAGGTCTGCTGACCAACTGGAGACAAAAATAAGACAACCTGCCGCTGACCCTCTTCCTGTGATTTAGAGATGAACGGACTTCAGGCACATGGCTTCCTGGGGCAGGACCAAGCAACACGCGTGGTGTCTCGGACACAGGCACCCGATGTCCTCACCCCAGAGCTGTCAGTCAGCGGTTCCGGGTGAAATGGTAGAAACGAACGTAACAGTAGCAGCTGCCACGTCCTGGGCGTCTCAAGCGCTGTGCTAAATCAACTGTGCAAACACATCGCCTTACATCATTCTCCCAGTAACTGTGTATGGCCTGGGCTCACTCACCTCTGCCCGTTTTTACAGTTGGAAAACCAAGGCCTTTGGAAGCCTATTCAAAGTTGAATAGCCATCAGGCGGCAGGGCTGGGACCGGCATTCAGGTCTGTCTGAGGCCCAGGCCCAGCCAGGTCGGACCACCTGTGTGTCGGAGCCCGCAGCCATCTGGACCGCCCTGCTGCGGCCCCGCTGCGCAGCTGGAGGCTGGCTGGTCACTGCCAGGAGCTGCTCTGAATTTTGAGTATCAGTCCTATACCGGGGGCTGGACTAGTTCAGGGCATGGGAAGGCCCTGCACTGAGGCTTCGGAATGCCAAACAGGCTCTGCGGACAGAGGCCTTAGCTTCCTCTCCAGCCCACATCTCTTTGGTTATAGATTTTCTCCCGAAGAACAGCCATCTGTCTGAACAGGGTGTCTGAGGATAGCTCTTCAGCATCTCCAGGCAGAAGCTTGGCAGAGGGAGCGCTTCTCCACCCACTTACTTTCCTGTTTCATCATGGCCCTTCCATCTGGCTCATTCATTCACGTATTCATTCAACAATTTATCGTTGAGCACCGACGCTCTGCCCTGCTGCGGTCAAGGTGCTGGAGGGAGCAGGTGAAGGAAGATGGATCACTATGAGGGACAAGACAGTTACATAAAAAGAGTCATCCCAGGTGAAACATGAGGACCACGAGGGAACATCCCATGTGTGTCTGAGAGGAGGGGTCATCCCCAGATTTGGCAGGAGTGGAGAAGGGGCATGTGTTTAGGAAACATTCAAAGAGGTGGAATTTGAGCTGGGCCTTGAAGAGAGGGTAGGGTTTGACAGTGTGTAGCCAAAGGGAAGGACATTCCAGGCCGTGAGAATGGCAGGGGCATAGCCTAGCGGTGGGGGCACAGGGCACTATGTGGCCCACGTGTGGAAGGGAAGCTGGGGAGTCAGGACGGCGCTGCTGGGTGGGCCAGCAGATTTGTCTGTGAGCTGTGCACTGTGGCTGTGAGCTGTGCACTGTGGCTCCGTCACACCAGCCACAGCCTGGCCTTTCTGGAGTCGGATCAAGGGGGCTGGAACTCAGGCCCCACAGGCCCCTGGAAGAGCCTTGACCCCAGGTGGCTGGCCCTGTCGGGGACACACTTCCCACATTGTCCTGTGCTGCCTGTTGTCCTTAGAAAGCCCTCCATCACCACATTCACACCCTCCAGCAGCGCATCTCAGGCCTGGTCAGGCCAAGGGACCGAAACACAACTGGCATCGGGGCTAGAAGGGAGGTTTAGCGAGCACACCACCCATCGATTTAAACTGACAGAGGAATATCTGGCCCGGCCAGCGTGGCTCAGTTGATTGAGTGTCTTCCTGCAAACCCAGAGGTTTGATTTCTGGCCAGGGCACATGCCTGGGTTGCAGGTTCAGCCCCTGGTTGGGGCCCCTACAGAGGTCAACTGGGCGATGTTGCTGTCTTGCGTCAACCCCAGATTCCCCTGTTTCTCTCCCTCTTTCTCCCTCCTGTCCTCTCTAAAGAAATAAAATTAAAAATTAAAAAGAAAAGACATAGCTGTAGGATCCCATCATTCAAAGAGAATCACAGGAACCTCAAAGAGAACACGGAGAAGCTGCTCCAGCGAAAGCAGGTTGGGGGCCCCCCATTCCACCTCCCATCGTTCCCACAGCAGCTCCAAGGGCACCCCCAGGCACTCCGGGATGCAGAGGAACGCAGCCCGAAAACCACTGGTCCGGTGTCCCCCAATTTTCATTTTGCAGGTGGGGGATCTGAAGTCGGGAGAAGAGACGAAGGAGCACCAGACTTCCTGACTGGTGGTTCAGGGCTCTTTTCGATTTTGGTCTAAGATCAGGGAAGAAAACCAAACAAGGGCAGAGGTGGAGGTGGGCGTGGTTTCCTGGCTGTGACGCCCAGGGCCTCGGTGGCTGGAGCAGCCCCAAACACCCGACTCTGTGGCCTGGTGGCAGTTGGCATTGTGCTGTGGCTTGTCTCCTTCTCAATCCACTGGGGGAGGGAAGCTGGACCAGGTCCCCTTCCTACCAGGGAGCGGGGAGTGTGGCGAAGACACAGCAAAATCCTAATCCACAGAGAAGGGCTCTCTGGGTAAAATGGTTGTTCTCCACATGTGCTGGGCATTTTATTATTTACCAAAGCATTTTCAAAGACTGATTCTGTTTAATTCTTACAATCAGCCTGCATGGTAGATGTTCTCCCCATTTTACCAGTGACGAAGGTGAGGCTCAGAGAGGCTGAGTGCGTTGCTCAAGGTCGCACAGGTGGTGAGGAGGCACACAGTCAGTCCCCTCACCCGGGCCTTCTAACTCTGGGTCTACAGAGCATAAGGTGAGCGAGAGAGGGAAGGGGGTGTCTCTGTGTGTGTATTCACGGGTGTGTTTTGGGGGGCTGCCAGAGAAAGTAGGAAACAGGAGCTGAGCCTGGGAGGGTGTCTGTGAACAATTTTATGGAGCTGTTTCTTTAATCACACATGTCTCACTTGAGACCGTAGGAGCCACAAGGAAGGGTCCCCAGGGCCTTGGTGCCTAGTTCAGTGAATATCTGAACTAGCAAATATCTGTGGCATGAACCCAATTAAAGAGGGTATGCTTGTGACCTTGTTTCTGGGTGAGGTTGTCTCAAACACCAGAGGCTGCCTTGCCCACAGCCCATCCTCCCCCTCTCAGCTCTGACCTCTCACCACTTCCTTTCTCCTGCAAATGCGGAGTAGCACCAACACGACCCCTGTCAGTCCGTGAGAGGGAGCCATGACCATGCAGGGCATCCTTGTGCGGTGGGCCCTCCCCACCCGGGAAGTGTGGAGTCAACCCCAGCTTCCCCTTCATAGTCCCCTGACCCTGCCTGGGTTGCACCAGGGAGAAGTGGCAGTGGTACCCTCTGTCCCAGCAGCTCCGGAGACAGAGCGGTCATCACCACTGGCGACTGCAGAGGCTACTCGTCTGGGCCCCGGGATCCATGCCCAGCTCAGCACTGGAATAAAGAAGTTACCCAAGCTCCAGATGCACCGTGTCCCAAAGGTCTGGACAGATGTCCCCAGCTCCTCTGAAGACAATACGTGTTATACGCTGTGTTTCCTCTCAGGCCGGAGGAGACATGCCGTATAACACAGGTGTTGACACACACAGAAGTCTTCTCGAAGACACGGAGGTGACGAGAAGCCCCCTGCCTAGTGCTGTCTTCCTGCCGAGTGTCCCAGAGACACGTGCATCTGAGTGCCCAGGAGGGAGAGACGCTCTGGGAGGCCGAGGCCGACAGTCGGCACTCCTCCGGGCCTGACACTCGTGACTTGCGGACCAGGCACCTGCTACTGTCTGGTTCCCTGAAGTTAAGGGAACAGCTTCCTGGCAGCAGCCCTCCTACCACCCCCCACCCCCACCCCCATCCTGAGAGTTGACGCCAGCTGCTAACAGGCCTCTTCCCGGGGTCTTCTCCTTTCTTTCAGGGCTCTGACGATAATCTTCCACCCCCAGCAGGCCTGGCATCAAGCACAGGAAGGATGACGCGGCTGAAAAAGCAGGTCCACTTTATTTACAATGACCAATTGGTGACACAGAGATCTTTGGGCTTTTTGTGGCCTTGCTGACAGACACCCGGGCGGGGCCCACCCCTCTGCTGGGGTGATGCACCCTCCTTCCTCGTCCTGCTTGGAGACCCAGCTGCTGTGGGGACCTTCCCACTCTGACAAACCTCAACTTGGGGCCACCCCTCCTGTGTCCTCTTTCTGGGTAGTCAGTGTCCCCAAGCACCTGACAAAGGTCCTCCTTACCTCCGCTGGAGGCCCTGTCTGGGTCCTGGCTGTGGGGCACCACACAGCTCTGTCTGCACACAGGGGTTGGATGAACAGTCCTGTGTGGGTGCCAGGGCTTGGTGCAGAGTGGTCACCCACCACCCCCGCCTTCTCCGGAGGCAGAACAGTGAAGTCCCAGGAGTCCTCCAAGGGCTAGAGAGGACAGGCACTGGGCCTTTCCTTGTGTGTACGGCAGCAGACAGCTCCCACCGCGGGCCTGGCCTCAGCTCTCCAGGGCCGCTATTCTTCCCCTACAGGAAGGTCTCGCCAGGATGGGTCTCATCCCAGAGAGAAAGACTAGACTGGCCAAGGTCCAAGGCCACCCCCCTGAATGTCTAGAAACTTCTCCTCCCTTCTCTTGAGAGGATGTTTTGGGTTTACCAGAGAGACTTGGTGTAAAGCGTAGGAGGCAATTCCACAAGGGAGGGCGCCCAGAAACTCCGGATGGGGGGGGGAGGCGAAAACTGAACACTTCTCCCCCCAGTTTGTCCCCCGATAATCAAGGGCGAGTGAGGCATCACCCTGAGCCTGGATGAGGCGCAGAGCAGACAACAATGGAGACCACAAGGGAGGCAACGGCGGGGGACCAGGGAGGAGCCAAGCGGGCAGGGCCGGGGTGGAGGCTGGAAGTCAGGCCGGTGGGGTCTGGGGCCGCGAGTCCTGCTGCCTCCGCTCTCAGCGCGCCTGGCCCGCCCGCTCCCTCGGGCCCGCCTTCCAGCGGCGGGGCTGTGCGGGCAGCGGAGGCGCTGGGGCACCCCGCAGGCTGCAGGTCCTCAGCTCCCGGGTCAGGCTGAGCACCTCGGGCCTCTCGGACTGGGGAGCTTCTTCCTGGCGCTCCTCCGTGTCCTGGTCCTCCTCCTCGTCTTCCTCCTGGATGCTGCTGAGGCGCGGGACCCCACGGCCGCGCTCAGAGGGCGGTGGTCGGTAGGCGCACTTGGCGTTGAGCAGCCGGCGTAGCGGGGCGCGGGGCACCGAGGCAGCGGCGCCCCCGGCGCGGAGGAGCTGCTGGCGCACGTGGCGCGCGTCGCTCTGGCGCTGCAGGCGCTTGAAGTCGCTGAAGGCCGCCAGCGCGGTCTGGCGGAGCAGGCGGGCGAGGGCGCGCGCCTTGTGCGCCCGCGCCAGCAGCACGGCGTGGCAGCGCAGCACCACGGCCTTGTGGCGCGCTTGGTGGCGATAGACCCAGGCGAAGACGCGTGGGTGGCGCCCGTCCGCTGTGCAGTAGGTGATACGCGGCAGCAGGTAGGCGTGCGTCGGCCTGCGGCCCCCAGAGCCCCCCGCCGCGCCCCGCTCGCACGGCTGCATGCGGATGCCGTGCGGCCCCAGCGTCAGCTTCATCTTGGTGCCCCCGCCCGGCCCGCAGCGCGCCCAGATCTTGCCCACGGCGTCGTCGGTGCAGCCGTCGCCCTTGGCGTGCAGGGTGACGGCGTTGCCCAGGTACCACACCGTGTAGGTAGGGTCTTCCTTGTTGAGTTCCACTTTCTGGCGCCGGCTGCGGAACACTCGGCCCAGGCGCTCCAGCGGCCAGTCGGGCAGCAGGTCTGGACAGGAGCGCAGGAAGCTGGAGAGCAGCGACGTGTAGGCGAGTCCGGGACTCAGGCTCTTCGCCTTGCACTTGGCCTCATCTTCCACCAGCACGAATTTGTCGCGTCTCCAGGGCAGCATCGCAGCGGCGGCCAGGGGGGCTGGGGGCGCCGGGAGCTCGCGGGCGTCTTGGCCAGCAGCCGGGGGAAGGGGAGGGCAAGAAGCCCACGGCCCCGGGGTCGCGAGAAGCTGGCGGCGCCGGAGACAGTCCGTGCCCGGAGATGGCCAGTGACGGTTGGCTTCGCTGATGCCCTGTGCCCAGCCGGGTTGGCAGCCGAGATGTTCGGGCGGCGGCCGGGAGGCCGGGAATAGCTTCCCCCTGGGAGTCGTTCAGCCGTCCGGGAAGCCCGGAGGGGCAGGGGCTGGGCGGGGTGGAGGCGCCCCCAGCCCGAACAGGGGGGATCCCGCGGTCCCCGCCGCCCAGATCGCGGCGTCAGGGAGGTCTCCGGAGCCGGGGCTGGCGGGCGGCTGCTCCGTGGGGTAGACAGAGAGCGCGACTGCGGTGGGGACTCCTTCGGGCGTCGCGGCTCCACCTCCCAGGGCTGGCTGCATCACCGGGTGGGACCGCTAGCTCTCTCGTCCCCTCCCCTCCTCGTCCTCTCTCTCCTCCCCCTCACGGGCTAGCGCTGCTCCTTGCCCGAAACCCAGCACAGGCGCGGTAGACCGGGTTTAATCATTACTGCTGGATCGGTGGGGGTGGCAGGGGCGGTGAAGGTAGGAATCTCCTGAAATGTACGGGAGGGCTTTGCCAATGCAAATTTCTCTGGCCTCGCTGGTGTTCTCCAGTCTCCCCTACCCTCATTAGGGACCCCTCTCCCCTCTTTCTACGACCCCCCCTTTCCGCGCAGCACGACGTGTCCTTACCCCATTTCTAGGAGTGATTTGGGGTGGGTTCCGGATGGGGCTGGCCCGGCTCGTTTTGCCTCTTGTCTGCACCGCAGAAAGCCAGCGGAGGTGGCCTGAGCAGTGCAGTGGAAAAGTACTGTCGCCTGGTGAAGCTTTCTCCCAGGTTCCTCCAAGGTCGTGGGCCAGGAGGCTTCGCCTGAGCCGGGAGGCCGAGTCACTGCTCCTGGGCTGGGGATACCCTCTCCTGGCACCAGGCAGGGAGGGCGTCCTTGGAGGGCGGGGAAACTTCCGCAGCAGTTTGGGGGTCTGTGGGCATAGCAGATGAAAAGCTCCTTCTTTCCCCTTGGCTAGTGTGGCTCACTGGATTGAGCTTTGGCCTGCGCACTGAAAGGTTGCTGGTTCCATTCCCAGTCAGGGCACATGCCTGGGTGCCTCGCAGCTGGGGGCAGCAGAGAGGCAGCGGATTGAAGTTTCTCTCCCTCCCTAAAAATAAGTAAACAAAGAAAAGCTCAAAACTCCTTCTTTCTGTCCATCCTCCAGAGGACATTATCTCTAATCCTCAGGACGTCCTGGCTTCAGTTAAGTGACCTGCCCGAGGTCACAAAGCTGGTAGGAGGTCGAACTAGGGCTCCAGCCAGGTTTGGTGACCCAGGAGTGGACCCTCTGTCTTCTGGGATTCTACCTTATGCTGCAGATGGATGGGGCATTTTCCATCCTCCATGGGGACCTTCCAGTGGGGGATCTTACCAGGGAGAGGTTCTAGTGTGCTGGGAAAGAGACAGTTGTCCCCGAGTGGGACACACCCCCCTTCTCAGGATTTGTTAAGGTCTGTGAGCTCTCACCCCCTTTCCTTGGCCTCAGAACAGGTCATCTGGGGAGTCTCCCAGGCCAGGAATGAGCCTAGAGTCTTGGACCTGGCCACACCAGAACAGGGGACCTCCAAGAGTGGGGACGGTGATGTGCTCCACAGTGGGAGCAGCATTCGGGGCAGGGGGCTTGAGTAGTGAGTGAGTGGGAGGCTTAGGGTCCTCAGGCAATAAAAACAAACAAACAAAAAAACCCTCCAAGAAGGCTGCATCGCTTAATGCTCCTGAAATGACGTGCAAATAAAGAACAAGAAATTACTTAGAATTACAGAATCCTGGATTTGGAGGGGGCCGCACAGATTTCTGGTCCACCGCAGCCGTACTTTATTTTGTTTGCAATATGGAAATGCCGTTAGTGCCTTTTGCTGATTCTAAAAGTAATACGTGCTTGTGGCAACAATTGCACAAGAAGGACATGGAAGTCTCTCTCTGTCCTCGCCCTGGAGGTGTAGACCTGACCTCAGGTGCCCGCAGGGAGCAGGTTCTGAGCAGTGCAGTGGTCACCCGAGTGCTTTTCCTGGCACCAGATTTGCCCCTGGAGGCTCATGAAGACCTGAACTCAACCAACTCCCTTTATAGGGAGGATTTAGGGTGAAAATCCTAAAATCCTCCCGGACAGGGTGAACTGTCCCGAACGACAGTTCAGCGAAAAATCCTTCCTTCTCCAGCCTCAGGTCTCCTAGGCCCACCCTCTGAACCTTACAACCTTGGTGCTCCCCTCCCCCACGACTGGCAGGGGGCTGGTGGGTGTGGCCCGCAGCAAAGTCTCAGTTTACAAGGCTGAGATACTCCACGCTTTGTCCAGGGCAGGCTAGCCTCCCGAGGTTGCTAGGGTGAGCATATGGACACCCAGGACACCCAGTTAAATTTGAGTTTCAGATAAACAACAATTTCAGTATATCTCAGATATTGCCCATATTTTATCCGGTAACTAAGTGTCCTGCCTGCCAGAGAATAAGAAGCCACAGGCGGAGGTGTGTGCTGCACCTGGGAGCTGTACTTGGGAGCTGCCCCAAGCTTGCCTGGTTCTGTGCTGTTCCCATTGCTTTTGGAAAATCCTCTTTGGGGGTGAAGGGGGCGGTGACCCAGGACTGTGTGAGATCCCAGTGCACAATAGTCTGTTTTAAGTTAACTGCCCTGGACCTCAAAGCCGCATTTGACATTATTAGCCCTTGTTAGCCACTCACCTTGGCCTCGTTGGCAGGGGTTCCCAAACTCCCTCCCAGCTCCGGACCGGTCCTTACTTCACAGACTCCCCTATGTACCCCAGGCTTGGCCTTCTGCTCTTCATCCCGCACAGCTGACTAGAAAAGCTGCCCTTGTCCTGCTCATCTAGGCAGAAGTCAAGGCCAGCGTTTCCTTTACTCCAGTCCGGGGGAAGAGCTCCCAGCTCAGCTTCATTCCTCACGACTTTACAGACTGGCGTGCAGTTGGATCTTTTCTGTTTTCAATTTCATTTTAATTTCTATTACACTTACGCTTGTATTGAATGAAAAGTCAAACAGCTGGCTGTAGGAGACGTCGCTCACACCGTGGCACCTGGGTCCCCAGCCCCACCCTTCCCCAGTCTCAATTCCCCCTTCCAGACACAGCCACTCTCTCACACATTTTAGGTGGCTCGTTTGTCACCTGCCTCCTTATTTTTACATGGCACTTCTGATCCGGATTTCCTACTTTTAAGACATTATCTATCACCTCCCTGCAACGGAAGATGGTTTGCCACCCTTCTCTCTGACCCCTTCTGTCACACGCTTTGCTCCTCCTCTCCTGGTTCAGTTAGAAAGTTTGGTTGTGGTGGCGTCAGAGTTCAGCGTTCAGTTATTGTGACTGCAAATATTCGAAGGTCGGCCTTGCTTGTGTGCTGTGCGCTAAGGTTCCATTTCCCTCATTGGACCACCTTTTTGCTTTTCTGGAAGTTATGCATCGCCTCGCTGAGAAAAGAAACCAAGAGACTTCCTTCCTTACCCATCACTAATTCATCCCCCAAGGGTTCCCCCAACAGTTCAACCTGGTGGAACGTGCCAGGTAGGTAACCTTACAGGTCTACCTGTTTCTTAGGGAAACGCAGCCCTGCCCTCTTGGAGACCTCCTCCATGGGCTCCATCCCGACTGCTCACACCCTCCAGGCTGAGACCTATTGTCCTGAGACGTTGCTCTACCACAATCCGAGGAATTTCCTTTGCCTCCTTCCTGGGTTGGAGCCAGTTTTCTGGATCCCTTGCCCCATCCGTCACCCCCTGCTCTTGATTTGTTTTCTTATTTTGGCAGAGCATGTAGTCCAGTAACTTTGACTGATGGTTCTGCTAGGTGTAGAATCTGGATTGGAAATAAATTGTCCTCAGAATTTTCAGGACATGATTTACTGTCGCTGTTGAAAAGTCAAATGACGTTCTGATAGCTAATCCTGTATGTGTGAGCTGATTTTTCTCTTTAGCAGTTTCTAGACTTTTCCAGAGGTCTAAACTTTCTATATGATGCCCATTTATTCTGGGCAGTTGGTGGATCTTTTAATTTGGAAATCAATTTTTGGGACACTTCCTCCATTCTATTTTCTGGTGGTTGTTTTTGTCCCCTATTTTAGTTGAATATTGGGCCTCTTGGATTGATCCTCCAATTTTTAAAAAATATTTTATTTCTTTATTTTTATTTTTATTATTTTTATTTTTTCCATGTTCTTTTAAAAAATATGTTATTGATTATTCCATTACAGTTGTTCTATTTCCCCCCTTCATTCCTCTCCCCCTCCACACCCCCTCCCCCATCACTTCCCCCTTTAGTTTATGACCACGCGTCTCAAGTTCTTTAGTTTCTACATTTCCCATACTATTCTTGCCCCCCCATCAATTTTCTATCTACTGTCTATGCTACTTATTTTCTGTACCTTCTCCCCCCTTATCCTCCTCCCACTCCCCTGTTCCTAACCCTCCATGTGATCTTCATTTCTATGGTTCTGCTCCTGATCTAGCTGTCCTCTTAGTTTGCTTTTGTTTTAGGTGTGGTTGTTAATAACTGTGAGTTTGCTGTCCTTTCACTGTTCATCTTTTTATCTTCTTTTTCTTAGGTCAGTCCCTTTAACATTTCATATAATAAGGGCTTGGTGATGATGAACTCCTTGAATTTGATCTTATCTGAGAAGCACTTTATCTGCCTTTCCATTCTAAATGAGAGCTTTGCTGGATAGATCAATCTTGGATGTAGGTCTTTGGATTTCATGACTTGGAATACTTCTTTCCAGCTCCTTCTTGCCTGTAAGGTGACTTTTGAGAAATCCGCTGACAGTCTGATGGGAACTGCTTTGTAGGTGACTGTCCCCTTATCTCTTGCTGCTTCTAGGATTCTCTCCTTCATTTTAATCTTGGCTAATGTAATGATGATGTGCCTTGGTGTGTTCCTTCTTGGGCCCAACTTCTTTGGGACTCTCTGAACTTCCTGGATTTCCTGTAAGTCTATTTCCTTTGCCAGATTGGGGAAGTTCTCCTTTATTATTTGTTCAAATGACTTTTCCACTCGTGGGTCTTCCTCTTCCCCTTCTGGTACCCCTATAATTCGGATGTCGGAACGTTTAAAGATGTCCTGGAGGTTCCTAAGCCTCTCCTCATTTTTTTGAATTCTTGTTTTTTCATATTTTTCTGTTTGGTCATTTTTTCCCTCTTTTTGGTCCACTCCTTTGATTTGAGTCCCAGTTTCCTTTCCATTACTATTGGTTTCCTGTACATTTCCATTCATTTGAATTAGTTTAGCCTTCATATGTTCCTCTAATTTGTGACTAAAATCAGCCAGTTCTGTGAGCATCCTGATCACCAGTGTTTTGAACTGTGCATCTGAAAGTTTGGCTATTTCTTCATCGCTTAGATTTATTGGCTCTGGGGCTCTGAGTTGTTCTTGAGCCATGTTTTGATCTGTTTGTGCCTGTTAGGTATGAGGAGCGGAGCCTTAGTTGTTCACCAGGGTGGGGCCACCCAGGTCGCTGGTTTGTGATGCTGTATGTGGGGGCGGGGTCAGAGAGGGACAATAGCGGTCCTCTCTGCTGCTTCTTGCCACTGAGGCCTGCATGGTCTGTCTCACCGCTTGCTCCTTCACCGGTTTATCTGCACGCAAATGTGTGACCGTGGTCAGCCCTCAGTGAGTCCATCGCCTTGCGCCCTCAGTGGGGCCGGCCGCTACTCCACACCTGGGATCCGCCCACAGCTGCCTGCGTGTCTGGGTTGTACACCCAGGTTGGTCCGGTGGATCTTTCCTGCCCGACTCTGCTCTGCTGCTGGCTCTGCCCCTCTTACTGGTTTGGCTGAAGGGTTCGTTGTTGTCAGACTTCCATATAGTTCCATTTTCTGTGGTTTGACTGTGTTTTTGTTGCTAAAACTTTGTTGTTTTTAAACTTGGTTGTGCAAGGAGGCACAGTGCTTCCACCTATGCCTCCATCTTGGCGGAAGTCTCTATTTCTTTATTTTTAGACAGAGGGGAAGGGAGAAAGAGAGGGACAGAAACATCAATGTGTGGTTGCCTCTTTGCGACTCCCCTACCAGGAACCTG